GGTCGATATATATCAGACTCGAATGGAAAAGTAAAGATTATCTTCAAGGCAACTGGTCAAAAGAGATTGAAAGCGGAACGAAGTGACTCTATTCGTTCGAATACAATCTATGTTGAAGTGAATTAGTTGCTGTGAACTCTATACTTTATTTTTTATTGGACTTATCTTTTTGTGTACTCAAAAAGTGAGTACACTCTAGAATCGGTCAGTATGTCCGTCCGGCCGTCCGTCCGTCCGTTAACACGATAACTTTTGAAAGGAGAGTCCAATCGCGATGAAATTTTCTACACAGTTCAGTCTTAACAATGTCTCGGTCGAGTTCGAAGATGAGAAGGATCCGCCAAGAAATGACTGAGTTATCGAAAAAATTGTGATTTTTGACCAGACCATCCCTGAGGGGGGGTACGGGGATTTTTCGAAAAAAAATTTTTGCTCATAATTATTCACAAAATACATAAATCGACTCAGTTTTTAACGCTGATTTTGAATCTGATATTAGTTTTGAACTGAATCATAGTTTTGTGTACTCAAAAAGTGAGTACACTATAGAATAGTCAGTGTGTCCGTCCGTCCGGTTGGCTGTTTACATGATAAATTTTGACAGCAGAGTCAGATTGCGATGAAACTTTCTACACAACTTAGTCTTGACAATGTCTCGGTCGAGTTCGAAGATGAGAAGGATCGGCCGAGCTGTTCCTGAGTTATTGCAAAAATACCCATTTTTCCCTATAGCTTTCTGTGGAAAAATGGACCCATCGCGACACTCGTAAAAGACTTTTCCTATCATAGTCAATTAAAACCCCAACTATTATATACCATTCGATAGAGAATTTCAAGAACTACAAAATGATATATAAAACATAAAGAAACCAGAAGGCTGACTTACCAATGACAAGGACAATTAAAGAGAACTAGGTTATATTTTGGTCCACGATCTAATTGATCCACAAATAGAGCTTTATCTTCCGGTCACACTGATGATACTTCGAGGTTTTCAGACATGGAGAACTCGAATGTGTACTGCACTTCCATCGAAATACTATTAGTTGCGCAGTGACCAATAGAAATGAAGTTATAGGAAAAACGACTTTCTTAGGGTAAATCAAGGGAAAGAGTTCAAACCTGAGCTGTATTCGGTCCATGTCCTATTGGTTTGGCAACGCGCAATAGAAATCAACATTTTAAATGGTAGATTTCACAGTATAATTTTGATATTCAGACAGTCTAGGATGATTGATTTGTATGATTCACTTTTTGAAGTACACATAACTCTCGGATTTAAATCCGAAGTTTCCGCATTTATTTTCTATAATTTCATTTTAATGAGAAATAAATAAATACAATCTGAAGAAAAAAAAATTCTATTTTTGCATAGAATAGCAAAAAATTTACATGCTTATGCAGAATCACTTTCATATATATTCGAATTCTTTTCATTGACATGCAGATTTTATTAAAATTCTAGTCATTTTGTAAACTACACATTCATAACACTTTGGTATTTACATGCGACTGATATAATTTGAATAGATACACAAAAGTATTACATGAAATTATTTACAAGCATACACGTTCTTCTATGTTTAGCTTAGACGCTTACAAAAAATTGCATTTTTATGAATGTACATGTGATATTATTTTGCATTTTAGTGGTATCAAAATATTCGGTTCACAAAATCACACATTTCATAGGAAACAGTTTTCTAAAAAAAAGAAAAAAAGAAAGCTTGGTTTTCTATCTGAAACATCCAAAGAATTTTTTGTCTCAGTGTCTAATAAAAAGAAACTTGTATTCTTTTTTTATATAATGTTCTTTTGTATAAAGTTTACAAAGCTCCAATTAGATATAAAATGTGAAGTTTTACTAACTTCGACGGCTAAAGGAGTTCTATTTGACAAAATCACATATCAATTATGAACACTTTTTGCTAGCAAAAGTCGTTCATACAATGGTCTATTTGATTTTAATCTGAATTTAAAAGCGAAAAAGAAAAATCATTATACGTACATCCAATACACTCTCTATTTTTATTCGATATATATAATATCAAAAATTCAATAGACATGCTAAATTCACATCCTATAAATATACTGGATATATTGTATATGTATAATATAATTTACATTTTTGAACAAATGTATGTTGTAAGAATAAGATTGATGGTGCGCGTTTAGAGAGTGCAGTTGTTATGATGAACATGTTTGGTTATTTATTTTGTTCGGTTGTAAGACGTTTTTCGTATGATATTTCTAAGAGACGTGTTAGTTTATAGACTTGCTAAATCCTCATGATCTGGAAAGAATCGGCAGATTCTTTTCACAAATTAAAGTTTGAAATGAAAAAAAAAAGTTCTAGATTGAGGTCATACGAAAAATATTGATTTCTAATCCGAAAAAACAATCATCGGAAAATTTTTGCTACGAACAATAAAGTGAATATGAAAAATGTTTCACTTATTTTAGTACTACTCTTATTTTTTTATCAAAACAATGACACACAAACATTATGTTTGTATGTAAACAGAACTGAGGATTCGCGAGTATTTATTCCAATATTTGCATTTGTTCTTATCATTTTGAAAAAAAAAAGATTTTTTTTTATTAACTTTTAATATTCTCTTATATTGAGTGGCTATTCAATATGAAATTTCGACGCTGTAGTTTTTTAGACGATCGAAATTTAATCAACATAAAAAAAAAAGACTTTATCCAATAGATGTCTCATTATCGACTCGTTGAAATCCAAGAAAATTGGAACATGGATACGTATGATTCAGTTTGATCGAACATCTAAATTGACAATAAACTATTAGTCTTTTTTGAAACTTAATTTTTTTTTTATACATAGAAACAAGAATTTAATGATTATGTCTTTTATTTGTAACATTTGATATAATTTTTGAAAAAATTAGTATCTTTTTATTTAATAAAAAACAAAAAAAACTTTTGCACGATTTTCGACATAGGAAAATTATTGTTTAGATAAGAGTTTATTTTCTACCTATGACATTTGATGATCAATTGGTTCGCATGATAAAAGTATTAAATCAATATTGAAAAGTTTTTTCAAAAATCGCTTTTTGTTTTTTTTGAGAAATTTTATGTTACCAAAATAAAATTCATCAAATGCAAGTATATAGTTTTAGATCACTAAAAATTATTCTTTCGATATATTTATTTCCTTGAAGTGGTTGAAATGCCTCCAAGGAGTTAATGAGTATTCTTTCAATAGATCTCTCCTCTTATTGAGTATGAATGAAAAGGTTCGTTGACTGCTATAGGGATCGAAACGTACTCGATCAGTCGAAAATGAGTAATCGATAAGATGCATTTTTTCTAGTACTCGATATTCAGACTGAACAAACAAAAGAAATATATTTTAAGTTTACAACTATACGTTGCACTCATCATATATTTATCAAAATCTAATCAATAATCACAGTATGCTCATAATGTTGATTTTCATCTATAGAACTATATATTATCAAGATCTTTAGTAAATTATCGAAACATTTATGATAAGAATAAGAGTGAATATAATAATAGAAATTGATTTGTCATAATTAAATTGAATAATGTGATATAGTGACATTATCTGTCTTGTGTTTCATCAGAACGATCGATCTTCGATAAGTCAATAGAATAACTATATATATATATTAAATTAATTTTCAATGACAATTATCCAGTTACAAATATAAATATATTAAGATGATATATCTGTATCATATCTATTATTATGATAAATGGCAACATTTAATTGAAAATATAGAAACAGTCTTAATCAAATATATGTAATTTCAAGTATATCAAAGTGGTAGTCTTTAATTATTTGTGAGTCTTTTATCTTGAATTATCGATCTTAGTAATTCTCTGTCTTTTTTTTTAATAAAAAGTCTAGTTACTTAAATCATAACAAAGTGTCATATAAAAAGAGATAAATGACAATCATTAGTCTATATAGAGGTAATAATCATTTATGATTTATATAATAGAAAAACTAATCATAAATAATAAATATATTAATATGCATAGATAATTGAATTAAGTATTAAAATCGAAATAGTTTTAATAACAAATTTTTCTTTTAAAAATGACAACAACAAATTAAAATATATGAAAAATATTGATATAGGAATTTACTAAAATACAGACGATTTACATACTGTTTCCGAATATTTTCGAGGAAAAGAAAAAAAAAAAAGAAAAACACGAAATTAGACAAACTGAGAAGTAAACCATGAATTAATATATAATAAAAATTGATAAATAATTGGTCTGTTATTGAAAAAAAAAAAAACAAATGAAAAACCTTATCGACAATTAATTAATCTTTTAAGGCAATCATCATATGATACTCGTAATGGAAGTGATTTTTTATTATTATTATTATTATCATTTAAATAAGATTGATCATCTAGATGTTGAATTTGATTATGTTCTTCTTCATTATTAATAGGATTTTGTGAATCATATTCTTTTTCATGAGAATATTGACGTTTTCTTCGAGGATATTTAAGAAGTTTTAATAATGGAAATGAATTTCTTTCTGATGTTGTTGTTGTTGTTGTATCATTTGATTGAATTGTTGCTTGACGAACAATTTTATTTGATTGATTTTTAATTTCATTATTAATAATTTGTTGATTAATAGGAGAATCATTTGATATTAATTGTTTCATTTGTTGTTCTTGTTCATGTTTTATTATAGTTTTATTTAATTTTTCTTTTTTTTTCATTTTATTTAAACAATAACAATAAACATAAGTAAATTCAGATCGAAATTTTGTTCCATATATAATAAACATAATAAATGTTGTTGCTGAATTTAATGTTGCACATAAATTTGCAATTGAATGAAATTTTCTTAAAAGAAATGGTGGTTTTTCACGTATAAACATTTTTGCACTAATTAACCACATAATTGATACAACAGCAGATGGAGATCGAAATACAAGAAGCATGAGTGTTGTTGCTAATAACATTATTGTTACACCTATATTCAAATTATATCAATTTAATAACTTTCAAACACTTCTATTATATGTAATAAACGATTTTATAAGAAAAAAAATCCTTAGACCAACGAAAGTACTTTTTTACGAATTTATTTCAATATATTAAAGACTTATTGATATATTCTCCTGCTCATAGTCGAACATCTTGTAAGCAAGATCTTGGATACAGATAAATGAACAGATCTTGAGAATTTAGGTACAAATGTGTAAGATCTTGAGTACAAATTTGTAAGATCTTAGATACGAATCCATAAGATCTGAGATACACACTAAGATAAAACATGTTGCATGTGTCATGATTTGCAAGACAATGTATCAGGCATTCTGAATGCGTGGTTCGAACCTATCATACAGCGCATTTTTTTTCTATATAAGCATGTTATGATATTTTTATTTTAATTATTTCTGTCCCGAATAATTCAAGCAAGTCAGATACTGGAATCTGACTGGCTTTGAATTGGCCCGATCTCCATCAGACCACTTCAGGATAAAATATTTTCAAAATTTATGTCTTGTATGTTCAATCATGTTGCTTATATATTGCTATGTATGCATAAAAAAGCGGTGAATGACTAGTTAACATATAATAAATACATCAATGATGTTGCTTTTTGTTTTACTCAAGATCTTGTGTGAAGATGATAGTAAATGATATCTTTTCCATGATCTTGCCAAGATCTTAGGTACAGATTCATCTGATACAACCAGGACATGTACATACAAATTATCTTTTCAAGATCTTGCTTACAAAATGTTCGACTAGGGACTATACTAATTTCTATTGGAGAAATTCTTACACGAACTTTTTTTCTGCAGTTATATGTTCATTATTTATCTGGACTTTTTCTATGTATCTAGAAGAAGAAACAATAAAACAAATACTCAATATTCTAAAAGTCATTGACTTGAATTTTTAAACTATTTATTATTGATAGTAACTATAGTTTCATAATTTCGATTTAATTATTTTTCTTAAGATTGTTATTTAATACAATAAATTATTTTAGCTTTTTTTTTTTTATTTTAAATTTGTTTGAATGAGAAAACTTGTCTTTAAAAATCATCAATTAGTAGGCAAGTTCTTAGTTAACACTTTTTAGAGATATTATTCATAAAATATCACTCAATCTTATTTTTAGTATCAACAACATAATAATGCCTTGACATTTTCCTTGAAGATGGACTTGAATATGTTTTTTCGTCTGAGAAAAACAGAATATCTGTCCCATAACAAAAAAACAAACAATTATTTTTCCTGGAAACTCGTCTTTTTCCTCTTACTGATAATCTATGTTGAAATATGTCTCTCTATTTTATATAGATAATAATAGTTTTATGTCTCCTTCAAATATTGTTTGTTTTGTCTATCTATAAAAAGGTTTTTATAGTTTTAATATTAAAAAACAGATGACAGGTGAGAGAGTCCGACAACTTTATTTAAACAATTCTAAAAAAACTTTGAATAGGATTGATTTTTACATAAAAAGTGCCGTATCATATCGAAAAACAAAAGTTTTTTTTTTTCTTCGGAAAAAATTATTAAAAAAATCCTTAAGTAATTATAATTTGAAATTTGATTATGGGTTTTAATAATGCTCGTAGAAAAAGTAATCAGATTAAAGTTAAAATTTGTAATATGACGAAACTCATCATGATTATCTATAATATGTCAAAAAAAAATGACTTCATCATCAATGCAATTGAATGATAGATTTTGTGACAAACTCATTATTAAGATTTGAAATTTGTTTGACAAAGATTTTTCATGATTAACATGTAACTAAATAAGTTGTTTATATTAAAATAGAATTTTTATTTCTTTTTTTTTATTATCAATATGAGAATGAACTTTTTTCGCATATTATTCTCTATTCATAGAATTTTCGTTTTAGAAATGATTGAATAAAATCTATTGAATTTAAAATAAAAAGAAAATTTTTAATAATACCTTGTTTAGTTGGTAATGGTGCATTATATTCAGCTGAACGACGTTCTAATAAACGTATTGATAAAAGTAATTTTCTATTAAGTATAATTATAATTGTTAATGGAATAAGATAAACAGCAATAGCATTTATTAAAACATAAATCCATCGAAATATTGAATTTTTTCCTAATTTACTTAATTTATAACGATAAAATTTTTTATTTTGTTTTTTTAAAAATAATTCATTTAAAACATTTTCTTCATGTGCTTCATATTCAAACATAAGTGGAAGAGCATAGAAAAGGCCAATTATATAAATAATAAATGTAACACGTCTAGCAGTCTTCATTGTACAATAATGTGGACCGTCAAATGGTCGACATATCACTATATTATTTATTTATTTAAAAATAGATAATAACTAAAATAAAAAAAAAAACATACTTATCCATCGATCAATTGTAAAAGCTACACAAAGCCATACACTAAGTACACGAGCTGTTGTACTTATTGCAGCTTAATTATAAATAAAGAAAAAAAAAATATATTTTAAATAATAAATAATTAATTTAACCTGTTATTATAATTATTTGTGTATATCTATAAGTTCTTGGTAAATCATAATCAGGTATATTTATTGGATATGCATATAATATATAATCAGGTATAAGAAAAAGACAAGTTGTAAAATCACTTAAACATAAACCAGCCAAATAAACATATGTTGAAAGCCGCATTGTTCGACGTATTAGTATTGAAAAACTAAGAGCATTACTTATTATGCCAAGAAAACAAATGAATAAACCACATATACCATTAACATAATGATCAAATGGATCACGTGTAAATGATTTACGAATTGATTCATATAAATCCGAATTCGCTATAACTAAATCATCGATTGTTACATTTGATGATGAATCTTCCATTTTGTCTCCTTTTTTGCTGTTTATTAATTATTACATCATCTACAATTCAATCATGAAATATTATCAAAAAAGAAGAAAAAAAATCGTCAAAATTTATTTGTGATTATATTATTCAGTTGAATAGCGGATCCGTTTTAATCATTTAGAAACGAAAAATGAAATGTAGAGAGAACAGCTGCCATAATTCACTTAGTTTTTTATCAGTATCAATGATGAATCATAAAAAGATTTATTTAATGATATTTATTTTCTTTCAAAGATGAGAAATTTCTTTTCGAAATTTTTCGAATAATTATATTCGAACTATTTCTTGTATATATATCACAAATAAGTTAATAACAAACCTGATTTTAATAATGAATAAAAACTAATCGACGAATGTTATGAAACTCATCAGAAAATATCTGTCGAATCATCGATTAACTAGATAAAAATATTAAGAATTAAGTTCACTTTTATATTTATTCTATGTTAATCTTTATGATGATGATGATTATTATTATTATTACTTTATTTTTGTTTCTATTCTTTTTTTTGTTCTTCTCTCGTATTTTATCTCTAAGGCATACAAACAGAAAAAAAAAATTGCATCGTCAAGCAATACAACTAACTATTATCTATCTGTAAGGATATGTTGAAAATAACAATATTGCTAGCGGTTCTCATAGAACGATAAGAAAACCTGTGTACACGACCCTTCTGTTACTATATATATATCTATATCATATTGAAGTATAAATAATAAACAAAGTACGAAACGAGATGAATTATAAACTGCATGCTTGATTGTTCAGTATAATATTGTTATTTTTTTAACATATAATTAATTCGATTTATTTTTATTAATATATATGTGTAAGTATAAGTCGTCGTCTAAAGAATTTTCTTGTCAAACTCTATAGGAAATTAATGTTAAAAATAGAGCATTGAAAAACATATATATATTGCTGAGTATCACTTGACAAATATGAAATGATATATTTTAACAAAAATAGATTCGTAATTATGAAATGATTGTTTGAAGAATAAAAATAAAAAAAAGTAATAATACTCAAAAGTGTATTAAGCTAGAATTGTGTATATTTAATAAAATAATATGGATTATAACATATACCTTTGATTGTATTTTTTTTTAATAGAATCATTTCTATTTTTTTTTTTTTAGTAAAAATTTTGCATTGAAATGATAGTTAAGGATTGTTTTACGAAGCAAAAAAAAAAAAAGAAATTTTTGGTTTTTTGTTTCAATCAATAGACACCTGGTGCATGTTTCGAAATGAATCTGGCTTAAAAAGATATAAATAAACCCCTTATGGAATCACACAGCATCTATATTGACATGTTCAAGATATAAAAAGAAACCTATTTTAACTTGTCGGTTTCACATTTTCTTATTTATGTGCCAAAGAAACAAAAAAAAAAAAAAAACGATTGTATACGATAAAGGTAAACGATATATATTATTAAATAATATCGCTTCGAACTTTTATGTTTAAATATAGTATCAATCGAATTTATTTTAATACAAATAAATATATAGTATATTATCATTTTAAAATATGAATTGAAAGAGAATTTTTCTGATGAAAATAATCTCAAAGTTGTAACTCATTATCTAGCGACATCTATCTATTATTTAAAAAAATAGACGAAAATTTCAACATAGATTATATTTATATGTATTGAATTAAGATTTTTAAAAAAATCATCTTTGTTATTGATGTTTTATTCATAATAAAATTGTTATATTAAATGAACAGATTCTTTTTTTTCTTAGTTCATCTATATAAAATGAATCATATTTAAACCAATGAATTGTGTTTCTCTTTCTGTTTCGTCGTCTTCCGTCAAAAACAAAGTCTTTTCAACACATATAATCTGTTCGTTCGTTCATTTATTCGTTCATTGTGTGTGTGCAGAAGTTTTTTCTTCATCATAAATCTAATCGTCTAGACTGTTTTCTTTCGTCGTTTTTCTTTTCTTTTTCGCGGTCCACTTTAAAAAAATATAGTCGAATATGAGTTTAGCGAGTCCAAAATTACCATCTGTTCTTCTCAATACAAACAATAATAATAATAATCAAACAAATAGTTCTTCAACATCTATTAAAAAAGAATTAAATAATAATACATCAAATGGAAAAGATTCTAAATCAAATAATTTTCATCAAAGAGAATCTAATCATCAAGATTCACTAACTAAACGAAAAAGTCGAGTTCTACATACAAATGATGAATCCGATGATGATGATGATAATCAACCATTGGTAATTTATATAGACATTTATATATATATATATTAATTTATTTATTTTAGGCAAAAAAAGTAGCTGCTACTAATGGTCGAAATTCAACAATAAATATAAAAAAAGAATCTATAACACCAATTATAAAGAAAGAAATTAAATCAGAACGAACATCAATTACTATTAAAATAGATTCATCATCAACTAAACGTAAAAATGATAATATTAATTCTGATGATGATGATGATGACGATATTCCATTGGTTAGTTTATTTCAGTTACTTAGTTTTTTTTCATTTCAATAGTTAGATTCGTATCATACTTCCATTTTTAATATTAAATAAACTAATACTAATCTTTAATTAGTTTCAATTTTCTCGGTTAAAAAAACAAAAATTTAAAGAGAATAGATTTTAGAAATCAAAATTATATTTCTATAAATTCTTGTTGAATAAATGATTGTTTAGTTTATATAAATCTATATTTTTCAATTGAAAAATTTCTATATATATATATATATATGTATAATAATTATTTAGGCAAAAAAAGCTAAAAATCAAGTAGCTAAACAAAGAAAATCCAATAATTCAACAATCATTATTAAAAAAGAAAAAAAGTCAGATATAAAACCATCAATATTAGAAATAAAAGATTCTAATTCAAAAAAAAATTCTTCAATAAAAATTAAAAAAGAAAAACAAAGTCCAATATCATCACCAATTAAACAAACAAGTGGAAAACGTAAAAAGAAATCTGAAGAAGAAGAAGATGTTTGGCGATGGTATTTCATTAAAATTATTTATTATTTCAGTTTTTTTTTATTTATTTTTCATTTAAGGTGGGAAGAAGAAAAATATACAGATGGTAGAAAATGGACAACACTTGAACATAAAGGTCCATTATTTCCACCACCATATGAATCATTACCACATAATATTAAATTTTTTTATAATGGTTTGTATTATTTATTTTATTGTTTTTATCATTTTATATTAAATGAATAAAATAGGTATGGAAGTAAAATTAAAAGAAGAAGCTGAAGAAATTATGACATTTTATGCTCGTATGCTTGATCATGATTATACATCAAAAGAAATATTTAATCAAAATTTTATGTCCGATTGGCGTAAATCAATGACACAAGCTGAACGTGAATTAATAAAAGATATACGTAAATGTGATTTTACACAAATTGCTAATTATTTTAAAGAACAAACAGAACAAAGAAAAGCAATGAGTAAAGATGAAAAAAAAAAATTAAAAGATGATAATGAAAAAATACGAAAAGAATATGGTTTTTGTATGTGGGATAAACATCGACAACCAGTTGGAAATTATAAAATTGAACCTCCTGGACTTTTTCGTGGTCGTGGTGAACATCCTAAAATGGGTTGTGTTAAAAAACGTATTAGACCAGAAGATATTATTATTAATATTGGTAAAGAATCACAAATACCTAAACCACCTGAAGGACATCATTGGAAAGAAGTTAGACATGATAATAAAGTTTCATGGTTAGTTATGTGGACAGAAAATATTAGAGGAAATAATAAATATATTATGTTAAATGCTTCATCACGTGTTAAGGTTTGAATTTGTTTTTTTGATTAGTTAGTTTTTTGTATAATTAAATTTTATATTTGTTAGGGTGAAAGAGATTGGCAAAAATATGAAAAAGCTCGAAAACTTCATAGAGTTATTGATAAAATACGTGAAAATTATCAAATTGATTGGAAAAGTAAAGAAATGCGTATACGTCAACGTGCTGTTGCACTTTATTTTATTGATAAAGTAATTTAATAAAAATATAATTAATAATAATTTATTTTTATTTGTATTTAAGCTTGCACTTCGAGTTGGCAATGAAAAAGATGAAGATGAAGCTGATACTGTTGGTTGTTGTTCATTACGTATTGAACATATTAAATTATTTGATAAAATTGATAGTTTGGGAGAAAATATTGTTGAATTTGATTTTCTTGGTAAAGATAGTATAAGGTAATAGTTTTTAACTTTATAACAAATTATCATTTATACTTTGATTTTCTCAGCAAAGATATATATGAGTGAATTGCAACGTTATTATACCTTTGCTTTTTTAGTGTATTTTCATTATAACTCTGGCTGTTGTAAACCAAATTTCAAATTTTTTTATTGTATTTTACTCCTTTCACTTCGTCTTACTACCTCAGAAAATTTCAGGTCAGTGGCTGATTGCTTCCTTGAGCTAAACGTATCTTAAGGCAAAAAAACACATTTTTTCAATTAGTTGTTCCAGGGAAAATAGAATTTTTGGGAAAGGAAAGGAAAGAAAGAAAAATGTAAATAAGCCATTTTGTAGAGCACGTGAGGAATTATCGAAGCATATATTTCATTTCTACATTTTCTCTCTTTTTCCTACTCATTTGTCTTCAAAACTATATTACAGTCATTTTCTTGATTTTTTGTAGAGTAACACAAAACGGTAAGTAGCGATCGGTGTACGATAAAAAAAAGACTCAGTCCATATCTAAAAAGAAAGACCTTGATTTTTGCTACAAAACGAACAAAAAAAATTGGTAACTTTTTCTTCTCGTTTTTGAGAAACAGGAAACTACTTTTTGAAAAATTTCGTTTACACTCATCGTGTAGAGTAACATTTTCAAACTTCTTTCGGTCATAACTCGACAAATACTAACGCGACTTCGCTGAAACTTTTTCTCAATGAATGATATTTGTTTTGGTATTACAGATAAAATTTTCAGCGTCATACGACCCCTCCTTCTAGCAAAACTTTACATGATACTAGAAAATGTAGAGTAACATTTTTTTAAGAAAAATGTAGAGTAACATTTTTTCGATATTTTTTCGAGCTTTGATCACTCAAATATACATTTATTATACACCGCTAGACTCGACTTGAAGTGGAGAGTAAAACTAGGCACATTAAAGTCCTTCCAAAAGTAGCTAAAAACCATAAGAAAAGTCCCAATGAAAAAAACTGTCTTTCTGCTCTGAAGTGATAAAAAAAAATTTCTTACTTAAATGCGTCTTGTTTAGAATTGAATGTCTTTCTAAAGTGCTACTAACTGTTATTATCTTCTGAATTATTATATAGGTGTACTTTTCGTGAAAGTGTGTTAATCGATATTAAACGAGAACAGAAGTAGAAAAAAATATTCATTGATTTTTCAACGTGTAAATGGGACTGGAATGCGAAGTAGAGAGCTTTAAATGATACTGGTGAATCCGATAGACAAAAAAATGAGTGATAAATACACTAAAATACGTTTTCACTTGTTTGTTTCGTCGAAAACCGTTTTTCATACGGTTTTGGTGGCGGAAATAGGGTTTCTAGAGATTCAAGTGAAGTTAAAATGGATCAAACATCACCTACCTAGATAGAGCTCGACGAGATCTATCGATCGGTATGTAATAAGTCTTCTTTGGGATAAATGCTAGAGACTTTCTCAAATAAATGCTTAGAGACGAAAATTCGAACTTCCTGCTTAAATATTTCGGTTGCCTTAGCTCGGGTAGTTGGGAAAATTTTACCAAATACTCAGTAAAGGATGGCGAACAAAATGCACTATCCAGATTTTCTATCAACTGACTTTTGTTTTTTTTTATCAACGGTATAGTGAAGTTGCAATTGACTCATATATTATAACGATAAAATTCATCAAAACTAAGATTATATTTATACGAAATAAAATATTAATCGATTTATAACGATTTTATTTGATATTTTAAAGAATTTTTTTTTTTTATTAATTTGACGTAAGAGTTCCTCGTAAATCTAATCCATTGAATATTTGTTAATATTAATGGTATTAGAAGTGAATAAATACTAATCTAGTGATCGAATTGACAAGAATAGATATTAGACTAGAACATTGATAACTGTTTAGATTAATCAATTGTTTTAAGTTATTTGATTTAATAAGAAATTTGTTAGATATTGAACATTAATCAATATTAAATTTTTTCTTATTTAATAAAGTTCAAATCAAGATCAAAAACTAATAATATTCAAATATTTGAGTAACATTAATATACTTATTTAATAGTTTGATAATCAGATGATGAACATAGAATCAACTGGTATTTATTATCGAAATAATTTTGAAATTCTACTTATTTGAAAGAGTATAGTTAGTGATGATTAACTAAGAATTAATTAGTAAAATTTGTTTTAAATAAATAATTTAAAATATTCGAATTGATAATTATAAGTTTGATATGTTGAGAAGCAACTTAATTAACTATTGATTATATATATATATATAAATGAATATTTGTTTATTAAATAGATACACAAATAAAGTGAGTGTTGAACCACGTGTATATAAAAATTTAAAATTATTTATGGAAAACAAAAATGGCGATGATGAATTATTTGATCGTCTTTCAGTAATATAATCGAATAAAAATTCAAATATGGTTTTTTAATAAAATAATTTTTTTTTTGTTAAAAATTAGACAGCAGGTCTTAATCAATATTTAAGTGAATTAATGGAAGGTCTTACAGCTAAAGTCTTTCGAACGTATAATGCTTCAAAGACACTTCAAGATGAACTTGATTCGCTGACTGATCCAAATGCATCTATACCTGAAAAAATGCTTGCCTATAATCGTGCTAATAGACAAGTTGCTTTACTTTGTAATCATCAACGTTCTGTACCAAAAACATTTGAAAAAAGCATGGGAACACTTAAAGCTAAAGTAAACATGACATTTTTTTTTTCTTTTCTTCTTTTAAAATATTTATTTTTGTTTTATATTAATTAAGATTGATGCAAAAAAATCTGAAATAGATGAACAAAAAAATGAATATAAACGAGCAAAAACAGAATATAAAAATAGTAAAAGTCAATCATCTCAAAAAAAAATGGAACAAATTGAAAAAAAATTACAACGTTCAGAAGATGCTTTAAAAAAACTTGAAGTACAAGCACTTGATAGAGAAGAAAATAAAGATATTGCACTTGGAACATCTAAACTTAATTATCTTGATCCACGTATTAGTGTTGCATGGTATTATAAATTTTAAACAAATTATTATTTCTAGTTTTTTTTTTATTTTTTATTTTTTGAAGGTGTAAAAAATGGGAAGTACCGATTGAAAAAATGTATTCAAAAACTCAACGTGATAAATTTCGTTGGGCTATTGATATGGCAACAGCTGATTATCATTTTTATAATTATGAAGGTGAAATTGTTTTACGAAATGTTGATGAAACAAATAATGATGAAGATGATGAAGAACAACTCAATTCAGATGATGAATAAACTTTTTTCAATGCTATCTATTATCAGCCGTCTAAATTAATGAATTTAGTCGCGCTATCTGTCTCTTGCTTTTTTTTTTGTCTATCTATTTCACACGCCGCTCAATATGTTTTCTGTCTTGTTATTATTATGTTATTCATACAGACAAATAAAGACAGATACTATTCATATAGACAATTCAGATAATCGATGTTTTTTTTCCTACTGAAATTTTATCTTAAATTATTTTCATCATATACTATTAACTCTTATATGATGAGCAACAGAGCTTCGTCTAGAACTGGACAATCCGATTTCATCACTATTATGGAATGCAACTATCGTCCTAATGTTAATTGAGTTATGATAAAATTATGTAAAATTTAGTAGTAGTGAGAGGGTCGAAAGTTTCGAGACAAAATTTGCCTTCATATTTTGCTTGATTAAGAGTCCAGCAAAAACATCAAAACCTTCAATTAGAATCAGAATTTTCGTGGAAGCTATAGGTTACGGATTATGAACTAATCTTTGTAAGATCTTAAAATAAAGTTTGGAGAGAAAAAGTTGTACTAACAGATCGAAAAATGAAGAATACGATTTTCATCGTAAAGACGTCCATTTCACTTACTCCCAGTTCATTTCGTTTGACTGCATCAAGTTTTGATGGTTTTTTTTGATCAGTACATAAACAGTAGATATTCTCCTTGCCAATGAATAGCAATTCTTTAGACATGACCGAGTTCATTTTGTAACTCGGGAAATCATACAGTTACAAAATAATTACTGTAACTGTTACTAAAGCTCTCTTACATTTGATATTTTCAAAAATAAATTTTAATTCCACTCTAGACAGCTTTACTGTACTAAAACCCATTCAAACTTTATTTTTACACCTTTGAAATACTAACTCATAACTGCTAACCTATGATTCACATAAATATGTTGAACTTAGATTCTGAAAGATGACATTATTTTGATTCTAATTCAAGCTTCTAGAATTTCTGTTTGTTACCTTAATTGGTAGAAAAATAAAGGAACATTGTATCTGTGGACTCTAAGCCCACTGATTATTAATGAAAATAATCTCCTCGGAAAATTTTTTCTAAATATTTGACGAATGGGAAGTATAAATGTGATGAGACAGAGTTTTGCGTCCCATCCAGTGGTGGGACGAGCTATTTGAGGATCATCCCATCTCATGTGGGATAGAAAATTTTGAAGATACTCCTATCCCATATGGGACGGACTGTTTTGTCCTTAGCTTAGTTATTTAATAGACATTGATAAAATTATCTTTGTAATGCTTTCTAATTGTAATCATTCTATAGAAACTATACCAAAGAAACAACTCAAGAGAAGAACGAGTTATCTAAAGAGGGGAAGGTCCACAGATGTTTCAAAGATTTTGAACTTCTAGTTTTTCTAATGATACAGAACCTATAAACTAAAACAAACTTCAAAGGTTTCGCGCTGTGCTTGAGATTTGATTAAAATATTCAATTGCAAAGCTACATTCGTTCTAAGCATGTTTCATCAGTTGTTATTTTTCTACATATTTTAGTCAAATGTTGTTGGAACCTGAATATTTTTCCATAATTACCTAAGTTCATCCTAGGATTTTGCTAAAAGTGGGCTTAAGTGTGGAATGTTTCTTTCATCTACAGCCACACCCGGCAGAGAGAGATCTAGCTTCCCATAGTCAAATGTACGGTTACCACAGGATAGAAATTTTCTTGAAGATGACGCCAATATATCTATCGTAAAGAAACAGTATCATAAAAGTGAATTTGTTGATATACAACCAGCTATCTGCTATCGTTTTCAAAAAGATGATTATTTTCTCTTGGTTTACCACCAGTTATATAGACAAACATCTCGGCTATTTTTTTAATCGTGAAATATCTGTATTGTGACATGGAACCTGATGCGTGCCATATCTCTGATTGTTATTATTCTTCATCGATTAATTGTGCTCATTGTGGATAGTTGTTTTGTATGTCTTATTTCTTCAAAGAATACCATTTTCATTAGTAAACGACTGCTTGTATTCAAAAATAAATACAATGAGTAGATTGAAAATTTAGGTCTTAAACGATAAATAAAGTATTCTTCAAGAAAAGTGAAATAATGTTCAAATTTGATAAGTTGTCATTGACAATCATATAGAGATTTTATTTTTTTAGGAAAATCTTAGGATGATGTTCGATAATTATGAAAAAAATTGCCAGGTTCCAGCAACATTTAGTTAAAATATGCAGAAAAACAACAAGTGATGAAACATGCTTAGAACACATGTAACTTTGCAATTCAATATTTCAGTCAAATCTCAACTCGATTAAAAACTAGCTGAAGTTTATTCTAGTCTATAGGTTCGCTATCACTGGGAAAACTATGGAGTCAAAATGTTTGAATCACCTGTAGACCTTTCCTTGGACGTGCTGTTTGTTAACCTTTTTCTTTCGTTATCTTATTTTTCTTTTCATATATTGTTAAATCATTTGTTAGCATAAGTCCCGAACATGACATTTCGTATAAATGAGAGGCAATTTTTCTATCACGTTCGAATTTAAATATTAATATATAAAGGATAAGTTTTAAATGAATTCAATATGATGAATGCAATATAGAGTCCACATGTTGAGCAAGCATTTAGATCTAATTGAAACTGATATATCATATTAACAAAGATTTTATTCAGTCAACTGATCTCATCAATATATTCTTCTAAACTTTGATCAAGTATATAGAACAGGGGTGTGGGTGTGATTGTGAGTGTGCATGTAGAAAAGCTTCACACCCACACCCACATCATGACAGTCACTTCAAGAATAAAAAAGTAAACGAATTACTAAAAACATAATTTTCTAGTAGAATCGATTCGAGTTCAGAAAAAAAATGAACCATCAAATACATCCGATTGTATTCAATGAAAAGTGTAAAATGAACTCGAATTTTGAGCGTATCTTATATTGTAAAAGCTTGAGAGAGCATTTTCGTATATCTTGCTTTACTACCATAGGATAATTTTCAAGAAAATATTCGTTCAATCAAATATCAACACCTAATTATATTTGATGGAAAAATTCATTTGATTAAGTCAATATGAATGAATGTTTAGCTCATAGTAGAACTGTTCGATCTAAAGGTATACTTTTCGATTCTTTACTTATCTTATTACGGGGTGTGGGTGTGAGTAATAGTCTTAATCTCACACTCCGCATCCATCCACACCAACGCCCACGTACACCCACAAGTCTATTGAATGCTTGTATTGCAAAAGTAATCGCTTGCCACTTTTATCGCGATTTTTTCTTCTATGAAGATTACTTTTTTTTTTAGAGACAAATTAAGTACTTAAGAAAGGATTGGAACAATATCGAATTTCTATTTATCAAAAAATCACATTGTGCGCTTCTTCACGTGCGACGAATGCAAAAAACATTACCTATGCATTAGATATAATGATGAGAGCCGCCGCTATTCTGTCTCATTTAAACGCGAATGATGGCCTCGACAGTACTTTGTTGCTTTGTATTCGTTCTATTCAGGTAATTCAAAAATCTACTTTTTCCTATTCATCTAATACTGAACACTCTTCGTTTTAAGTCTTACAGGTTTGCTTCTTGTTTTGTTCTACGTGTCCTGCTATTAATTTGATATGTTGCTAGTTCGAGTGAAATCTCAATTCTGTCATGGAATATCTCAATATGGTAGATGTTCGCCTAATAGGGCGTGCGCCTGTTTTTATATAGCAGGTGCTATTGACATTGGCATTTGTGGCGATGAATTTGTGGATTGTTCTGAGCTAGTTCCATGTGAGCCCTCAAACAATCTTTGTCGTGAACCTAATCATAGATGTGTTCATCATCCTCGATGTCAAAATCTTCCTGTTTGTTATCCGATACCGACTTTCAATCGACAACTGTGTCCACTGATAGCAAGTAAGAAAACAAACAGTGATCTATAGATTCAAGTGAAATTCAAATCTTTCTTAAACCTATTTCTTCAATGTTCTCATACCTTCACATATGTAATTCATGTTAGTGTAGGAATGGTGAACGAGAGCCGAAAAGTCATTGCAAATAGTACATAAGGTGTGACGGTGACAAAATGATTTGTAATTATTGAAGAAAAGGTCTCATCTGTTCTCTTGGTCCATATTCATTACTCTAGAGTGCAGAGTCTGTCGCAGCTATACCTAGCAATATATAAAGACGCAATGAACTTTTGAGTGTACATTAGAGATCAAAACAAATTGGAAAATCGATCATTCGATTCGATTCAACTCTGCAGAGTATGTCAGATGGTTGGACATCCATAAGTGCACATTAATTCTTTTGCACTATACTACACTTGAGTCACAGTCATCGATATATAGTTGACTGATTGTTTTGAACATCAAGTTCATTTGGAAGCCTTTTTTCCAACAAATTTGATTGAAAGCCAGTGCGAAAGAAAACACATTTATAATTTTCTCTGTCATGTTTCTAATGACTAACGATGCAACATTGAAGACTAATCATTTAGCTGTTTCATAAGAAAATGTCCTCAAGTGTGATGCGCTGTTTTGACTAGGATATATACCAGTTTGTAGAACTTGATGAGACTAGAAGAAGCCTTAAAAGGGTTCGTCCCCATATGTTGTCCTTCTTTAATTATGACCACTTTAGCGGATTTTCGGCTAGTGGCAAGGCTTATATGCAACAATCGACTTATGGAACTTTTATCTGAAATTTTGCCCATAGATAGCTCTCATGGCCATTAGAATGTCTTAAGAATTTCAGTAAAAGAAGAATGTGTTCTTCTTGAGACATTGGGTATCAAAAAAAGATCATATATTACAAGAAAAGGTCAGAAAAGCGAGCGTCTTCAACATTCGATATCTCAAGAAGAAACCATTCTATTTTTTGCTGATATATTTATGCCATTCTAATGGTCATCAGAGCTATTCATGGGCAAAACTTCAGGTAAAACCTCCACAATTCTATTGTTTCATGTATGTTTTGCCAGGGACCGAAAATCCGCTATAGTGATCATAACTCGAGAAGGACAGCGTATGGGGACGAACTCTTTTAGACATCTTCTAGTTTCATCAAGCTCTACAAACTGACATACACCCGATTCAAAAAGGCGTGTCACACTCGGGAATCTTTCCTCGCCAGTACGATACTAATAAGCGCAGAATACATCTTAGTAGACCAGGCTTGACACGGCTACTTATTTGGAGACTGCCTGAGTACATTAAATGCTTGAGAAATCTTTCTTAAGAGAAGAATGTAAAAATTAAAACTATCTGATGAGGAGAGAGTTTGTAACAGTTTATCACTACAATATTATTCTGCTCATTAGTGCATTTAAATCTTTGTTCTTATTCAAAATACAACAGAAGTGATAAACTTGAGCAAGACATGCTTTCATTTTGCTATCAAAACGCTCGCATAAGTTGTCTATTGGTTGGATTTTCCTCATTTTAATTTTTATTGAGATATTCCGAATGACTAGCGATGTGAAGCACAGAAATAATCTTTTCGCTCTCTTACGAGTCTCTGCTTATTTTCCAAGATTTCTCAAGATTAAGAAAGTAGACACGATGAATCTAATCCATCTCGCTTGATTCGACTCAGTTCGATTTGATGAAGTTTCAATCTCTGATGTACACAAAGATTTTTCGTCCAAAATCAATTTTTGAAAGGAAAATTAGCTTGTCAGACTATTTGAGATCGTCGTTCTACTTTAAAATACTACTTGAGCTTTACCTAAAACTTGAGTGCACCAAGTTCTATATCACATTCTAAGCCAAACCCAAAACTATTTGCTTTGTTTACATCAATGTTTTATGATCATGAATAGTGACGAGCACTATAATAACAACTACAACTACGATTCCGACTACAACTACAACTACTACTCAGCAGTTAGGTAAGCTTCAAATTAACATATCTTGACCTTGCTAAATACTAATTTTTACGTAGGTATATACAGTTGCTTTGTATGCAATACTATTCTGCTGTTAGCTAAAGGCTCTCTTGATAATATCAGCGATCTTATAGTATGAGTGATGCAACTTTTATCATAAGAAAAAATTCCTTCCTCATTTGAATTAGTAAGATATCAATTAGTTGATCATTTAGGAGAACCGTGAAAATAGGTTCAGGTAAAAATTTAGATTGTTACGCGAGCGTCATGCATATACTTACTTCATATAATTCAATTAAGGATATTGTACGTATGCAGAATCACATTGATTTGTGCGGTAAAAGTTCCTTACTAATGATTCACTCAAAATGGATACGATATCAAAATGAGTTCAGCATATTCGATTTTTCATATTGTTGAAGTTCAATGTATGTAATACAAACATAAGACGCGTGGGAAAAGGGAAAGCTGAACTAGAACTAGTTCGGCTATGAAAATTTGATGACAAGCCTTAATGTGGTATGAAAACTACGGTTGAAAAACGAGGTTTTTGCAAATTTCAATGCATTTTACTATGTCGTCTTGTTTTGAAACGATACGAGTTAGATGATCTATTTTTACTCTACTGAAATCGGTTTCCACACAGATCAGTGAATAACAAGATTGCCATGAAGAAAAAACTGTCTCGACTGTTCACTTGACGGACGACATGATTGTGATAGCGGAAAAATTTTCACGCAATCAACTATCTTCCTTTTCTATAAGTCATTCGTCCATCGAGAATATCTATTTTGCATCTGTCCTCACACTCTTTAGAATAAGATGTTTTCTCGTCTGTCATGCTTTTGTTTCCTATTTCGTCTTGAACATGTTTTAGATGCTTCTTTTCATTTTCACCTCCACTTTCAAGATTCTCGGCACCAAAGACATATTTTAGGTTTCTTGGACTCTTTGGTTTTCTTTGATCAACAAGAGTTTTTCGAAATCTTGGTTTTGTTTGAATCTTACCATACCTTGTACTATTTCAACGTCATCTGATTCTTTGAGTCCTGTGACTTTCTGGATGCTTTGGATTTATAGAACTTCTTGAACTTCTTGAGTATCGTTGATTATTGGCCTTTCTTCAGGTTACACGATCCTTAGGAACTCTTCGACTCATCCCTTTCCTCAACTATCTTGAATATATTTGAATTATCCGACTTCTAAGTTTCTTTCTGTTTCCTGTGCTCTTCAGGACCCTCACGTTTTTTAGAATCTCTCCAATTGTTGAATTGCCTGGATTCGCATGATACTTTCAATTTCTTCAGTCCAATAGATTCGTTGAATCCGTTCATTTCGGTAGATTCCTCGACTCTCTGGGATTCAGTGGATACCTTCGACTCTGTGGATTCTATTAATTGCCGATGTTTCTTAACTTCCTTTGATTCCACGCATGCTTGAAGTTTCTTGGATTCCTTTATGTCTTCAAGCACCTAATATTCTATGGCATCCTTGAGTACCTTGAATTTATTTCATTCCTTGAGCTCTTAGATCCCGATTGATTCCTTCGATCCCTCGAATTCTTTTAGTTCCTCGACTTTATATGATTCTGCGGATTCGTTAGATTCCATTGGTTACTTGCAATCCCTGAATTGCTTAAGCATGTGGGTGTCGGTGTGACAATGGACAGAAAGAAATCAAGATCCGTACCACACCCACACCCAAAACCCATCGTAGCTTTTTTCTGTGAGGGAGAGGATCTCGTCGACAACAATGTCTTTTCTTTTTTTCGTTCATTGTAGTGATTCCCAATATTCCTGGCAATGCCCGATGGGTGCAACATGGCATAACTGTTGCTGGAGGTCGTGGATGGGGTAGTGCCACCAATCAACTCTACTATCCTCACAGTCTCTTCATTGATGATGATGAAACAATCGTCATAGCCGACTGGGGCAATGGTCGTATTATCCAATGGAAGATGGGTGACACGAATGGACAAATCGTAGCTGGTGACCATGGTAGAGGAAATCGATTGGATCAACTGGAAAATCCAACCGATGTGTTGATCGACAAAGAAACTAATAGTCTAATTATATGTGATATCGGCAATGAGCGAGTCCTACGATGGTCTCGCGGTAGTGACACAACTGAAGGAGAAATTCTGCTCGACAACATCACTTGTGTGGGATTGGCCATGGATGATCAGCGATATCTTTACGTGTCTGGAGATGAAAAAGTCACACGATATCAAATGGGAGATAAGAATGGAACTATCGTGGCCGGTGGCCATGGCAAAGGTGCTAGTCTCAATCAACTCAACGAACCGACCTACATCTTTGTCGATCGACAACAGGCTATCTACGTGTCGGACCGTGACAATCATCGTGTGATGAAATGGGATAAAGGTGCAAAAGAGGGGATTGTTGTCGCTGGAGGTGAAGGCAAAGGGAATAATCTGACACAGCTGTCGTATCCGCAAGGACTGTTCGCCGATACATTGGGTAACATCTATGTGACAGATCAAGGGAATGAACGAGTGATGCGTTGGCCTAACGGAGCGAAACAGGGCACTGTCATTTTAGGTGGAAATGGTAGAGGAAACAGAGGAAATCAACTGAACGGTCCCATGGATTTATCCGTCGATCGATATGGCCATCTCTATGTTGTCGATAATGGCAATTATCGAGTTCAACGATTTTATATTGAATAGACTAATTAACAAGATTTATTTGTTTTCCTCTGCATAAAATAAACCACGATGAATGCATGTCAATCCTATTCTATTTGCGCGCAAGCTCTAAAATCTCCTGGATGGTGCCACAGTAGGATGAAAGCAATACACACACAGAATAGGCTCAAATATGCATGACATGTAAATGAGACTGATGGAAATTCGATCGTATGCTACGGTCCCCAAAGTGATTCGTGGCCAAACTTTTAGAACCTACAAGAGCGGTCTCAATGGGATTCATTCACATACTTCAACTCTCATCAACACTATTCCTGTCATTCTCTTTTATCTGAGTAAATAACCAATCTCATCCCATTTCCGGTCTATTTTCACTTGACGATGCGGCTATGGCTGTGGTTGTGAGGGCAGCTGTGGCTGAGTGTAGGCGTGTAGATGTGTGGAGATAAGTGTAGGTGTTGCGGGGTAGATGCGAATGCTGAGAACAACCAGATCAATATCTGCACGTCCAAATTCAGCTACTCATACCCGCACACCCATACCCTAATCTTATAAAAAATGGGTATGGGTCATCGCTTTATCACCCACACCCACAGACTCCACATCCACATCCACATCCACATCCACATCCACATCCACTCCACACACCCACACCCACACTCATCCACACCCACACCGCACACCTCACACTCACACCCACCCACATCCACCCCACCCCCACACCCCACACTCACACACCCCACACCCACACACCCCACACTCACACCCACATTCACACTCACACCTACATCCACATCCATACCAACGCCCACAGCCACATCCACTCACACCCACCCTCAAAAAACTGTAATGTCTCTTTTATTCTGAAACGAATAGTCGTTTGAATACATTCGAATATATCGGAGGCTTTCGATAATTTTGTTTATTGTCTGATTTTATTTTTCTTGTTAAGATCTAGGTGAGAGTGAACTCATAAAAATGGTATTTAATTCTTTTGTCTGATATTTATTGAAGAAAATGGGTCGGAGTGAGGTCTCATGAATGGAGAATTTTATGCTATATAGATCGATACTCTCTTCTAATGAAACGGCGGTCAGAATGGGTGAGAGCGTATTTTACTAATACCCTTTTGTTTTCCATCTATCGTATGGCCGAAAACATATTTTACTTCACAGTTGATATAAATAGGATAAATTTCATAATCAATTAGTTTTTCTTATCATGTTTTTGCAATAAAGTATGATTAGACTTTATTCAACAATGACAATATAAAAGAACAAATGCTTAAAAAAACTACACTACAATAGAATCATTCGTTTTACTAGCACTAATTAAGTATTATTTATGTTGTTCATGATTATTCAGTTTGGATATTAACTGGATTTATACCCTAAATCTCTTATCAGTTTTCGGTAGTTTTGTCAGCAATTTTCTTTTCTGTAGCATTTTCTACTGCTTTATTAACTTCCTGTAAGAATCTTTCGGCTAGTTTTTGAATTTCTCTTTGTTGTTTGTGAAGGATATTAGGATCTGTGGCACGACAATATAGGCCAATGTATGGAAGATAATTTTCAGCAGCTTGAGATTTATCCTCAGGTATTGCCATCCTGTAGAACGATGTTTTTGGTGGACGAATGATATAGTGGTTCTTCACCAGCTCATTTTCTACTTGAGTTGCATATTCTTGTAGTTGTCGCAATTCTTTATCAGTCATCGGTCTTTTCTCGTCGATCGCCAAAGAATAATTTTCTGTTGTTTCAAATACACGTGTAAGTTTCACTTCTCTTATTGCCTCACTGACTTCTATGTTGAAAATTCGTTTAAAGAATGAGTTCATAAATGGATTTGTATCAAATGTACATCCAGTATCCTTGTACCAATTTTCAGCTACACGCATAAATTGTTTAAAATTATCGCCATACATCATCGCATAATCTGCTTTGGCAGGTAATGTTTTTCCCCAATGTGGTTTTGCATGCAATTTGTTAGTTGGATCCATGAAGTATTGCTGAATGTCTTCTTTAAATTTGTTGGGTTGATCGTTTTTTCTCTTTTTTGGTGGCAACTGATAATGCGGTGTTCTTGGATCCGTGACGATATCTATTGCAGCTATATACTCATCTTGCTGATGTGAGCTGGTTGATAAACCTCCATTTGTTCCTTTAAACATGCGTATATAAATAGCAAAGCTTACTGGATAATATCCTTTAGCACGATACTTTTCCAACGTGTTTATGATCGTTTCAAGCTAAATTAATAAAAACATATGAATCCAGTACAAGAAAATGTACTGAATGAATTATCTGCTCTCCGTGCTTCGTTCTTCATTCTTGTCCCTTAGTTTCAATAGGAAAAAAATATTCATAAATTTTAGAATAAGATGGTGATGCGAAACGGAGCATTGAGCTGCTCTGGTATTCATTATATTATAGTGGCTTTGATTTAGATTCGATTGTCTAGTACAATATTGAAATGCTGGTCGATAATTCCTATGCAGTTTCTTGCTCATTTAACAACAACAAAGAAGAGTCAACAAACAGACAAACGATACGTTTTGTTGTGAATATAAAGAGAATAGTACTAATCTTTATTGGCCTACTTACCACTTTTAACATCTCTCGTGGCTCTTTAACAGGAAATAAAAAATCAATATCATCCAATTCCCTAGGAAACTGGCGTTGATAATGGGCAATCTAAAAAATGAAAAAAGTGAGAAGCTATTATGCATATAAATATGGATACGCGTTTCACGCATACCTGGTAGAAAGGTCCTGTTGTTTCCACCGGCGAGGTATGTATTATACCTAGTTTCATTCCAGCAATCAAACGCATAGCCCACGGAATTACCAATGGAGAAAATCGTAAGGCAGATAAAATAGAGCACTTGTTAATCAGTTCAAGTGTCTCCATCTCTAGAAGCTGACTGGTATCGTACCATCCTTGTTCTGTTTCAGTCCAGTTTACATTGTTCCTCTCAATTGATACTTGCTTGGCTACCAAAACACTAACATTACGATATTCTCTTTCTTTGTTCGGTTCCCAATAAGTTGGTATATACATAACAGAAACATACTCATTTGTTTCATATAACTTTTTTTCCTCTACTTGTCGAAAAAATTCATTTAAACTCCATGCATATGTCGTTGCTTTTAATTTGCATGCAGGTATACATTTAATAGTTACTTCTGTTACCAAACCAAATAGACCTAAATGGGCACCGTTAATAACGTCAAAATCCGCATCATCTTTTGTAATAGTTTTTAATTTCCCATTTGCTTTGACCATCGTAATACTTTCTATTAAACCAGCTATAGCTGGTTGATTTAATCCAGTACCGTGCCCAGCATTTGCTGCTAAGCCAACCAGCGTTACCCAAGGAATAAGTGGAGATACTGGTAAAGATAAGCCGGGCTTATTGTGATACAATGTGGCTTCTAAAGGACCAATTTGCACATTACAACCAACGGTCACCATTACACCATTTATTATTATTTTATCAAATTCTTCACCGACCAAATGTAAAATGACATGAGCTTCAACACACGGTGAGACCGAAAAAGAGTCTTGATATTGGCAATCAGATGATAATTTAGAAAAAGCACTAATACGCTCTTCACTTTTTACAATACAACCAGCAGCTGCACGTAGTGTAATTGTGTTCTTGTTGGCTTTTACACGTTGTTGATTTAACTTATTTAATCTTTTTACTATTTCACATAATGTATTTGTATCATGCACTTCCATTCGCATGACTTCTGTATGCCGAACTGTTCGACACCAATTCTCGTAGCCATATTTTCGGTCAACAGGTAAGCCTGAGAACACTTCTTTGTTTAATTCATTTACATCATCGATTGTGAGTGATAACTGATCTATCTGTTCGAATTGAGCAAACATGCTGAATACAAATCTATAACAGAAAGTACGTATCAAAAGTGGAATAAATCAAATATTACTTAATTCCCTTCTTGAAGAAGCAATTTTCTCATCCGCAAATAGTTTACAGTCAGTGGTTCATACAAGGGGTGAAAACCGCCACTTCACTCTTACTTCATATTTTGCTCGAAGTAAGGTTAAGGAAATTCAAGACTCGAGCGTTTTTATTTTCCTGATTTTTGTACATGGTTAAATGCAGCTCGATGGGCTGAATCTAAAAATATGTAGTATGTTTGCAAGAAAAAAACATTTTTCCATGTCAAAATCTCGAAAAATCCAAGAAGTCAGCAAAACTGGTATTTTTAGAGAAAAGTAACCATAGCTCTTTCATACAATTAGCTGTAGCTCTGAAGAATGTTTTTCCTAATCTACGTGAAAAGCCGATTCTAAGAATGTACTTGTTGATGATTCTTCTCTTGTGCATGTATTTCATAGATGCTGTTTCTGTGAAAAGATCAAAAGAAAACATTTTCTGACGAAAACGGCATCAAGTCATTTTCCACAAGACATTTAGTCTTGGGTCTTTCCGTTAACTTCCTCCCACCATTTACAAAAGTGTTTTTAAATCTTGATTCAATAGGATCATTTTGTAGAATTTTTTGCACTGATCATATTAATGAACGTATTGTATGGTATTGGACGCTAAATAAGAGAGAAATCAACGAAATACTAATACATGGATATTTTGTACTTGAAATGCGCTTGCTTCAGTATCTTAGCCATTTATCGATTTCATGTTTTCTAAATTGAAATATCTATTTTCGATTCGATTAGAAGAACGAGAAACATCTTGAACTGTGCATTGATGAAGATGTTTTCTTAATACTTTTGCGGCCTTGTATGGATGCATATCTTGCACTATGCAACCAAAAATCGAGAAAAAGTCTATCAAATGAATCACATTAGATATCTTTTTCGTCCAAAGAGTAATATCTATAGGTTTTATAATTTCGAAGTTTTCAGGAACCCTAATGCGAAAACTTCAGTTTCGAGAGCTTTCAAAGGATTTCTAGTAGAAAAAGGTTTTTACTAAAAATCTTATTAGCCTATATGATACAGAATAAAATTGTCTAGAGAATGAAATATTTTTGGCATTTATTAAAAACATGTATGGTGACCCAAATTCCAAAATACTATCAACGGTTAATAAAAACCCGCACCCAAACTCGATTGTTTTATTATCAAAAAATCATTTTGAAAAAGGAATCGATGCTATTTTCGGGATCAGCTACAAGAAATGAGTAAGTCAATATCTAGTTCATTAAGAGAGCATCGAGGATCACTCCAAATATCGAAGCACTCGTGAAAATTTAATTTTTTTTATTTAATGTTTCCATTTTGTTCAGCATCATCGGAAACCTCTAAATCCAAAGTTTTAGCGCGTTTGGTTAAGCTAATGAAAAGTTATGTCAATTTTACTGTCGATCACTCACGAGGATATTTTGAAAATATGATCAAAAATCATCTATATAACGTTGCTTTATAAACTGTGACAAAAGATTAACCAAATTGTTTGTGTAATATACTAAAAAATGAAGCATCGAAAGCTGAACAAAATGAGCGGTTTACATATTATATTTTCACGGACTAAACCCGCGTTATTTACCAAAGACTTCTGATGACTGCGCGTTCTTTAGGCAAAAAAGAATATGTGAATTTTTTCAATGATTCTACTGGCATTCAGCCATTTTCTGAGGACTCAGACTGAATTTTTGATATATTGTGTAACTTTTAATTTTCTACAAAATGGTGGAAGCATAGTTGAAGAAAAGCTATCCTCTGGACCAAAAGGGACTCACATTAACAATAGTCTGATGAATAGCCTCAAGGAAACTGACCCTGATCACTTTTGAATGTCACTCATTCAAGAAAATTTTCATCTGGAAGAAATCAAAACTTCATCCTACATAGTACACTGTAAAAAATAGGTATATTACTGAACTTGAAGAGTTCTGCATTTTTATACCGAACGATTTTAAGTTCAGTGAAATGAAAATAGTTTCGGAGTTTCTGTTCAGAACTTTTTATAGTTCCACAGATTTCACAGGCTTCCGTAAGTCTTCCTCGAAACCTTTTACAGGTTTCGTGAATTCTACACGAAGCTATTGATAGTTTCGTAGATCATATAAAGGTTCGGTATACTTTACATCGAACCATCGCTAGTTTTGTAGGGCATCAAAAGGTTCCGTATATTTTATACGAAACGGTCGATACTTTTCTAATACATCAGAAGATTCCGTATATTTCGCACGAAATGGTTCATAGTTTTGTAAACTATTGGAAGGTTTCGCAAATTTAATATGAAAATTTCTATAATCACTTTAAGTACTAATAGGCTTCGTATGTTTTGCGCAAAGCCATACTATAAAAGAATAGGCTTGTTACTGAATTCTAAAAGTTTTGTACTTTTCGTACGAAACTTCTTTTTGTGTACTCAAAAAGTGAGTACACTCTAGAATCGGTCAGTGTCTCCGGCCGTCCGGCCGGTTACACGATAACTTTTGAAAGGAGAGTCCGATTACGATGAAATTTTCTACACAGTTTAGTCTCAACAATATCTCGGTCGAGTTCGAAGGTGAGAAGGATTGGCCGAGTCGTTGCTGAGTTATTGGAAAAATAGTCATTTTTCCCTGTGCCTTCCTATGCGAAAATCGACCTATCCCTGCTTTCGTAAAAAACTTTTCCTATTATAGTCAAATAAAACCCCAACTATTATATACCATTTGATAAAGAATTTCACGAGTTACAAAATGGTATATAAAACATTAAGAAACAAGAAGACCAACTCACCTATTGCAAGGGTAATTAAACGGGAATTGGTTCTGTTTGTGTCCATAGTCTAATTGAGCCACAATTAGAGCTCTGTCTTTCGATCATAGAGATGACAGTTCGAGGTTTTTTGGGTCGGAGAACTCCAATCTGAGCTCAGTTTGCCTCGAAATCCTATTGGTTGAGCAGTAACCAATAGAAATCAAGTAATCTGGAAAACGACTTTTCTAGGGTAAATCAAGGCGAAGAGTTCAAATCTGAGCTGTATTCATCTGTAAATCCTAGTGGTTGAGCAGTAGCCAATAGAATTCATGTGTTTATAGAAAAAGTTTGCCAGGATAATTTTTATGCCCACACATTCTAGGATGACTAATCAGTCTCATTCACTTTTTGAAGTACACATAACTCTCGGATTTAAATTCGAAGTTTCCACATTTATTTAGTATATTACACAAACAATTTGGTTAATCTCTTGTCACAGTTTATAAAGCAACGTTATATAAATGCTTTTTGATCATACTTTCAAAATATCCTCGTGAGTGTTCGAAAGTAAAATTGACATAACTTTTCATTAGCTCAACCAAATCCGCTAAAACTTTGGATTTAGAGGTTTTAGATGATGCTGAACAAAATGGAAACTCAAATAAAAAAATTAAATTTTCACGAGTGCTTCGATTCCTCGATGGTCTCATGGATCCTTTCTCAAGGAAGCAGCAATCGTCGAGAACTCTTCGGAATGTGTCCATAGAAGAAACTTATGCATAAAAAACTGTTAGGGCAATTTCTGCGGAATTAAAATATGAAACACGATCGAGCTGCTTACATTGTAAATGAAAAATACTATGGTGACTTTTATGGCCTGTGCTTTTTCCATGATAATGCCGGTCACGGTCTGTGCCGTCTTCATTTTAATGTCGGTCATGGTCTGTAATGGGTAATTAATTAATTTGAGAGTAATTACTTAATTAGTTATTTAATTAATTAAAATGTCTGTCACGTCTGTACGGAGGGGGAAGAGCTGGCAGTGCAAATTTCTATCTCTATACACTTGAAGACTCCCTTTTAGATCGTGTTTCACAAAAGGAGCTGAGCGGGTGTTGGGGTCCATTTTCAATGAAAAAATTTTCCCGTATGGACTAGATACTGATTCATTCAGTTATTGTAGCTGCTCCCGAAAATGACATCGATTTCTTTTTCAAAATAATTTTTTGATAATGAAACAATTGAGTTTGGGTACGCCTTTTTATTAGCCGTTGATAGTATTTTGAAATTTGAGTCACGATGCAGGTTTTTAATAAATACCAAAAACAGAGATAGAATCGGTACTGGTAACCGGCCGGTCCGGCCCAGGACTGGTCTAAACCTGTCTCAATCGGCCTGACTGGTCGAAACTGGTAGAACCGGTTGAAACCGCCTTACACTGGTCTATATTTTTCACTTTCCTGCTCTATGATGGTAATCATATGAAAAAACAACTGGCACCAAGGCTAGTTCCACTGATCACGCAGAAATTTATTTAAAAAACAATTTTCAAAATGCCTATCAGTGAGACTATTGTTATCAACAGGAAAACATTATGCCAGTATGCGTGAAAGTACGAAAGTAGCCCGCAAGAGAGTTGACTATGAAACAGGGCTTCATTTCAAGCCTTAGCCTGTTGTCTGTAGATCGATATTTTGTCGATAGATCGGTTTTTCTATTATAAACTGACGTATCATCAGCATCCTGTTTAGTACCGATAGGCTAGTTTTGCCCGGTAGACCGATCAGATCAACTTTTTTCGGTAAATCGGTTTCGGTCGCTGAACCGATCTAGACAGGCTTTACCGGTAAAACTGGTAAACCGGCCGGTCCGGTCCGGTCTTATTGTTTTGGACCGATACCGGTACCGGTCTGAAAAAAACTAGACCGGTTTCACCTCTGATTAAAAATATTTCATTCCCTAAAGGAAAATAAAAACCCCTGGAATCTTGAATTTTTCCAACCTTACTTCGAGCAAAATGTGAAGTACGAGTGACGTGCGATGAGGTACGTGAAGTAGTGAAG